AGAAGGTATCTGACAATAATTGATATGCCATGAAACTGTCTTTTGGAATAACTGCACATTGCCACTCTGCCAACTGTCTTTCTCGCCAGATGTTATAAAATATCAAATAGTCATTTGGGCTCCTTGACTCTTATAGATTCTAGATAAAAGAGTTACTCTGAGAATCAAAAACAACAACGTAAGTGAAATTGCCTGGCAAAAAGTAAAAAGCCCACACAATTATGAATTACGGGATAGGATTAGCAGCTTTGTTAGACTGAGAATTCATGCCTCAAGCATCTTTATTTACCAAACTCACATCTTAGTCACATTATACTTCAATAATTAAAGACCCCAACCAAAATCCAGTCCATAAGATGTTAATGTAAGATGTTTATTAGTGTGATTTTAGTAAGCACAATGATCACATCAAAATGTCCCAATATACAAACGGCTGAAGTCTAAAATCACAAAAAATACAAACTTAGGTGCATGAACAAAGTTATAAAAATATTTAAAAACAAAGTTCTACATCTTCAACATTGGGCTGAGAGAGAGACAGAGAGAGAGAGATTGAGAAATTGAGATCACATAAAAGAAACATCACATTTCAACAGAGCAACCCTGACCAGTGTTGACATATCACCAGTGAGATACTGGGCCACTCAGGTGTGACCATCATGGCAACACAACATTTCATTATAGGACTGGCTCCTTCATAGGAAGCTACGTGTGAAACATTAAATTTCTTTCAAAATGAAACATCCAAGTGAAACAGAGTGAGCTAACAATGTATACCAAATTTTAGCTGGCTGTTAGTAGAAAATTTCAATTTCATAAATTAAAAAATATATATTTGGAAAAAACAAACGTCAAACAAAAACATAACAAAATGAAAATGAAAGTGGAATAAATCAATGTCAATAATGCAGTGTGAGCATGTGCCTTTGACCACAAAACAGCAGAGTCATACCCAGGCTCCTCCACCCACCAGTCACCTAGACAAGCTGTAGAGACTGGTTAGAAGTGATAGATGTCAAACATGATTTTAAAAAGCTAGCACTACAGTCGTGAAAAGTTCCCTGACCAAAAAGAATAAAAAACAAAAAACAAAAAAAGGCACCAGAAAATGTATTAAACAGCCACACACCAAAGGTAAAGAGCTGTGTTACATTTGGTGGCGTGGTCTCCTATGATAACTGTTTCCATATTTGATCAACTGCTCAGAACGTAAGCATAAAGCTCCTCCCTCTGAAATGTGCCTTCCTTAAGTGTCTTCTCTCCAGACCCATATAGGGAATTCTTGGCAGAGAAGCCAACCCACGTGACCAGATTCTCCTGACAAGAAGAGGGAATGCTTCCTACATTCCAGAAGTCACGCAGGGACTCAGTTTAAACTTTCATAATATTCTGATTTTAGCATCCCAAAAGCAGTTCTGTACCAGATCTAAAACAATGTACATCTCCAACTCTTCCTTAGAATATGGCGCCATTTATTTTAATCTGAAACAATCAGTAGCTTAGCGATTATAAAAACCTGCATAGTCAGTAAGAGGAAAGAAAATTTAGGAGAGTATTTGACATTCCAGATCTTAAACCTGAGCTCCTCAAAGATTTCAAACCATGGCCCATGTTTTATATTTTATCTCTAGAAATCCAATCACAGCTTATCATTTGAAAAGTTTCACAGTACTTATCCCAGATGGCTCCAGATTTTTTAGCTATTAGTTTGGAAAAATAAGGAATGAAAATAAGAAAGTCCCATTGAAACAATCCTCAATGTGTGAATATAGATGCTAGTGTTCGTGGTGAAGAACTGGACACATAGGTCTTCATGGGTGACCCACTATCCCCCTGGCATGCCGTATAAAGGCACCTCCAGAGTTCACAGGGATACTAATCCTGAACAGAGATGGAGTCCAATCAGATGATCATTTCATTAGAAACCTAATAAATTCTTATCCTTCAATATGTTGCCGCTCAGTTTCATTCTCGTGTTGTTACACAAAAAGTTATTTTCTATCTGTATCAACATTCCAGTATTCTAACAATACTGGATTCCATTTAACTTCTCAATTTTTATTTTGCCAGTTCATGATCATTTAAGAATAATTTTGGTTATAAAATTCCATACACAATAATAAGGTAGTTAAATTTTCAGGAGAATCTAAGTCCTAGACAAAATAGATAATAATTTCATAAGAAACTATTTCAGCCCAACTTGTAGTTAACAGAGAATGACTTAGTTTGAGGAAATACTTTTCAAAGTTTTATCAGAGCTACTTTAAATTAGAAAACTTTAAATTAAAATAGCGATCATTGCTCAGATTTTACTAAGGTGGAGAGAAACATAGGTAGCCTAAAAGATTACCCTTCCCTAAAAGCAAGCTCACAGAGGGAGAGGGTAGGGAGAGGAAAGGGGTTCACTGCAGTACTGGTGGACTCAATCCCTTTATGAAAGCACACGTTCTCATCTGTTGTCACCATATCCTGATTCATGTGGGAGACTGAAAACCAAATGAAAAACGCCAACCAAAAATGTTTAAAGAAAAGAAAAATGTGAGATCGAATTAAATGATAAAATGAGTTTTAAAAGAGAACAAGAAATAAAAGACATTAGACGACCTTTATAAAGATACTAAAATTCAAAAGACTTTTCCTTGTACTTCGTGCTCACAAAGGGAAAGGAGACTCCATCAAGCCCTGCAGAGTACAAGAGGAAGCAGGTGGTTTGCTCAGGCATCAGCAGAAAGACGCCCCGAAGAACTACCCTCAGCTTCTTCTATCTCGTATCCAGGGAAGAAAAGCAAAGCTCTGCAAAATGCTGAAGGTTTTAGAAGTGTAACGGTGCTTAGGAAAGATCACTGGTCTGGTGTTGCAGCAGCCCCAGTGTTGAAAGACACTCTAGGCTTCTAGGAGGAGAAAAATAGAAAGGGAGGAAGAAATAGGAAGGGGAAGGAAGGGGCGGAAAAGCACAGGTCATTAGTAAACAGCAAGTTCAACATAGCAAGGTGCTCATAAACCCTTTATACGCTATCAGTGGGGCTGATCTGCTCTTAGGGCGAGATATCATTCTGAAGGAAACAGAAACGGGAATTTTCCAACAGCACGGAGCTAAATGCTCCAGTTAGTGATGGCTGGGTTAGAATGAAGTCACAACATGCTCCCAAAACATGCACTCTTTGTCCCGCCCTACTCCTTCCCACCCCCAATGAAACATGCATGTTTTCGGTCAAGCATCTGCTTTAATACAATCAAGATGGCAAATTCGGAATATAACGATCTTCCCAGGCCTTCCCCAAGGGTGGAGAGGTGCCCAAGGACAGGAAGACCTGCTCTCATAATGTCACTGGGAAGTTCATAACCAGCGGGGTCCTTTTTTGCCACCAGGGAACTAAAAGTCTTACAATAGTGGGCCTAGACTATATGTCTGTCCTGTTCTTTTTTCCTGCAGTACTAAGGTTCAGCAGTGGGAAGCAATTGCTACATAAAGTTTGAGTCTTTTCTGGTCATACCTGACATCCTGCTGGAGAAGAAACCTACTCTAAGTTTTCATGGCTGTTTCCTTCCTGGACGAAAACAGCATCCACTCTTTTAACGGCTAATCAAATCAACCCCCTCCCAGCCTTTCCTTCCCCTGGCATTGCCTCCTGGTTAAAGAAACCTGCATTTACTCAGTTTTTAAAGTTCATGTTCAAGTTTCCTCTCCTTTAATCATAGGGATAGTTCCATAAATGTTTTCTTAAAACCAAATTACATAGAGGACTCTGCTTTCGAAGCAGGCACAGAAACAGCCAATACCACATACAACTCAGATTATCAAAAAAACACAAAACGTTTGTTTCACAATACTGGGAGGTACGGTGGCACTTCTGGTTGTTTCTAGCTATTAAAATACAGAGTTCCTAACTCATGAGTTGCAAATAAAGATGCTAATGTCAGTGTGTAAAGCTAACAGTCACAACAAATGCAACCTAGTCATCAATAAATCTGAGGTACAAACATACAGACAACATTTCTAAAGGTCACAGAGTAAAGAATAAATCCAGGAATAACTGCTATTGCTAACAAAGCTTTCTGGAAGCCTTAGAAACTCAGAAATCCTGTGGTGGCTCAAAGAAAGGATTCTCAAAGCTGAGGTATGTGTATAAGAAGGAAAACACAGACTCGGCCCATGTCTAGTGCTTGCCTCCACTGCAGTCACGTGAATCAGCTGTTATGCCCCAGTTTAGAAGAACACGCTGGGCTGCAGAGAACAATGTGCTTGATCATCAGAAGTCCATTCATTCGATTCAACAGTGTCAGCCTGATCACAGTGGCAGACAAGTGCTGTTCTTTATAAAAACTCGACATGAGGCTCCTATCGGCTACCTAAAAAAAAGATTCACACCAGACATCCCTGTGGGCCATGCTACTGCTTCGAAAATTTGGCTCACTGCAAATACACTGGGGTAAGGGGTTGGTGCTAATTATGAGGCGGGAACCCACGGGGAACTCAGTGCCAGCTGACACAATATCAAAGCCCTAATAATAGGCTGCAAGTTAAAGTTAGAGACAGATTTCAAAAGTAACAGCTAAGGGAAAAATCAAGGAAAAACAGACAGAGGGCAAAAGTGAAAAGAACAAACATTTAATCTGTGGCTGACAGGTTTCCTACCACTGAGCAGCATGCACTCAGGGACGAGAGCCACCTGAAGAGCTGCGGGGGCCAAAGGCCTCCAATATAACATATTTTGATGATGATTATTCTGCCTCTGTAAGTGGATTGTTAAGATTGGTCCAGCTCTACTGTGGTACAACTACAACAAACACTCAAAGAATATCAAAGGAAATTCGCTCTTTTCTTTCCATTGTTGGAGATGTTATGTGGCAGATGCCCTGGGTTTAAGTACATCCAACAGGAACAACAATGCCCTTAGAAATAATCCATTTGCTCCACCTAAGGTCCTCAAAGGAGCTTATCCAGGTGTTTACTGGGACCGTTTCACCCACACATTAGGGGGATCCGGGGAACCTCTTACCTGGAGTGTCATTTCCTTTTATTCCATGATCACCATTGGCTAGCACTGCTGGTTTAGAAGACGGGGTACCTGCAACAACCAAAAAGAATTGCCCATTGTGACAAACAGAAAAATGAAAAACAGGTCCAACTACTGTCTAACTAGTAGGATTTTGTCACTCTTCACAGCATTAGCTTACAGCATATAAAAATCAGTCAAACTTTGAAGACCCAATAAAAGGAAAGTCAGAAACATAGGACAGAACTGGGTCATTCATTTCTACAGCACCCAAACTCTGTGAAGCACCAGCACTCCAGGAGAGCCCTTCCCAACAGCAAGGCCCAAGTCTTTTCCATTCTGTAATTGTCAACCTGATATTCAATAAAGCCATATGAAGCATCACAGGTTTAGTACTGTGATTCAAATCAAACGCTTGAAAGACACAGGGCCATTTCAAACAACCCCCCACATAAAAAGTCCAGGGCACCATCACTGCCACTGGACCTGAGGATTGCATGGTCAGCAGCAGCAATCCTGGAAGCAGGGAACTTTTTTTTTTTAACGTGAGCTTTTTTTTTTTTTAAATAAATATAACAATTGATCATTGACTTTTTTTTTTTTTTTTTTNCAGTGAAGCAACGTCCTCCACAACTAGACTGAAGAACAAAACGACAGCAACTTGTCTGTTCCCCTTTCCCCAATTCCCCAGCACTGTTCCCATCTCCCCAATTTCCCAATAAAAATCTTTAAAAAAATATATATATATTGACTTGAATGAAAATAAAAACACAGCATATCAAAATCTACGGAACACATCTAAAACCATGATTAGAGGAAAATTTATAACAGTAAAAGTTTATTTCAGGTGGTTGCCAGAGGTGGGGAGTGGGCAAAATGGGTAAGGGTAGTCAAAAGGTACAACTTCCAGCTATAAAGAGCATGGTGACTATAGTTAATAATACTGTATCATGTATTTGAAAGCTAAGAGGGTAAATCTTAAAAGTTCTCATCACAAGGCAAAAAAATTGTAACTATAGTGATAGGTGTTAACTAGACTTATTGTGCTGATTATTTTGCAATATATACAAATATTGAATCATTATGCTATACATCTGAAACTAATATAACGTTTTGTGCCAATTATATCTCAATTTTTTAAGTGCTTATTTTAGAAAAGAAATGTTTCAAATCAATTATCTAAGCAGCCAGTTTAAAAAACTAGAAAAAAGAGCAAATCAATTCAAAGTAAGCAAAAGGAAGGAAATATTAAAGATATAAGCAAAAATTGAAAACAGAAAAATAATCTATGAAACCAAAAGATGGATCTTTTAGATCAATAATTGATAAACCTCTATCCAGAGTCATCAAGAGAAAGAGAGGACACAAATTACCAATATAATGAATGAAAGAGGGGACATGACAACAGATCCTACAGACATTAAAAGAATAAGGTTATATCACAACTTTATCTCCATTAATTTAACAATTGAGAAGAAATCAAGCAATTCCTTGAAAGATACAAACTACCAAAGCTCACTTGAGAAGAGATAACCTGACTAGTTCTATATCTCTTAAAGAAATTTAATTCCTAGTTAAAAACCTGACAAAGAAATCTCTAGGCCCAGATGATTTCATTGATTAAGTCTATCAAACAAACATTAAATAAAAAACATTAATTCTTCACAAACTATTCTAGAAAACTTCCCAACTCATTTTATGATGTCAGCATGGCCTCAATTCTAAAATCAGACTAAAGCATCACAAGAAAACAAAACCAATATCCCACATGAACACAGATGCAAAAATCCTCAAATAGTAGCAATTCTGATTCAACAAGATATAAAAGCAGCAAATCTCTTTTAAAGGGTTTAATCATGTTTTAACCCTGACCTGGGATTACTTTCAAAGACAATGGCATCTGATTCCATTCCAAATTAAGTCTCGATGTCAACACAGAATTTTATATCTAAGTTTCCAAACCTACTTTCAAAGAAAGGGCACAGCAGAGAGTTTAATTTAGGAAATTCAGAGGCAGATTAAAGTTGAAACATTACAAAAGAAACCTTAGGGTTAAAAGTCATCTACAGCTTTCATGAACACACTCAACTAAAAAGTAATGTTAACCTACCTCCTTGGTTTTGAGTAAAGAAATGTAGATAAACAGAAAGTTACTAGCCTATACTAAAACACCCAGTTCAGTTTCCTCAAGATTTCCAATATTATGACCCAAAGCACAATCCCTAATCTACTTTCTGAATCTATATACCCAGTTTGGTTTAGTCACTTACCTTCACCCTGGCTAGTATCTGGGCATGGTTTCTTCTTTGACTCCGAATTCCCAGTATTCTCGTCAACATCCAGGAGAGGAATGTAGTCTGTTTTTCCAACAGTTTCTCCCACAACATCATCATAGGCCTCTGCCTCCAGAGTGGCAATAAAGTCCCGTTTAATCTCTCCTTCAATTTCTGGAGGTGGTTCTGTTAATGCATCTGCAAGACTGAGGTCAGCCATTCTGCACCACTGCAACTGCCTGGTTAAGGGAGGGAAAATGTTTCATATGATGAGCACTACAAAGGGGAAAACATTCCTAGAAACACTTGTCAGTTGTTTTCAACAAAAACAATGAAAATTAAAATTTAAAAATTTAGAGGTAAAACAGACTCCCTCAGTTTACAGGTTAGAAAATTAAAGCTCGGTAACAGTCTTACCCAAGGTAAACACTTCTTTATCACATCTCTGAGAGATAATAGAGCAAGTCCATTTTGTCCTTTTTATTAGTAAGAAAAATTAAGTATTTTTTAAAAATCAATTTATCCAAGGTTACAGTCAGTAAGACTCAAATCAGGTCTTTTGATTTCAAGTTTTATAACCCTTTCAACTACTCCATATATCTTCATTTCCAAATCATGTACCAGAATAATTCTTAAAAGAATAAACAAGAAGATGTCAGATTAGATTCCCATAAAAAATTTTNTCCTGGAAGCAGGGAACTTTTTTTTTTTAACGTGAGCTTTTTTTTTTTTTAAATAAATATAACAATTGATCATTGACTTTTTTTTTTTTTTTTTTAAGCTGAGCCATCCTGCCACCTGTTGGCAGCTCAGCTCTGGCCAGACTCGAACCACTGTTGCTCAGAGCTCAAACCTTTGAGCGAGCTCTTAACCGACTGAGCCACTCAGCCAGCCTGATTTATTTTTTAATTGGGGAACCATGTGTTTTTCCAGGACCCATCAACTCCAAGTCCAGTCATTGTTTCAATCTAGTTGTGGAGGGCACAGCTCAGTGGCCAACACGGGGATCAAATCAGCAACCTTGGTGTTATGAGCACTGTGCTCCAACCACCTGAGCTAACCGGCCGCCCCAGAGCTATTCTAATATAGTTGTGTCTCATTCACTAATAAGTAAGGATGGCGAGCATCTTTTCACGTGTTTATGTGCCATCCCTTTGTTTTCTCTGGTCAAATTTGTTTACTATTTTTTAACTGGGTTGTTTCTTATCATTGAGGTTTGAGGATTCAGTCAGTATATGTTCTGAGTACCCCTTTATCAGATTAGTTTTGCAAATATTTTCTCCCAGTCTATAACTTATAACTTGTACTTCATTTTCTTAACTGTGTCTTTTGAAGAGCAAAAGTTTTAAATTTTGATGAACTCTAATTTATCTTTGCTTTCATGCTTTCAGTGAGGTATCTAAGAAATCTTCACCTAACTCAAGGTCACAGGACTTTTCTCCTATGTTTTCTTCTAGAAGTTTTGTAGTTTTCAAATTGAGGCTTATGATACATTTGGAGCTAAATTTTATATATGGTGTACGATATGAGTCTAGGTTCATATTTTTACATATAGGCATCTAATTATTCCTATATCGCTTGTTGAAAAGGCTATCCTTATTCCACTGAAATGACTTTGCACCTCTGTTGAAAATCAATGACCATAATATTTATGTGTGCATATATTTCTGGGATCTCCTGTTCCACTGACCATTGACAAAAAGTCTACCCATTTTGCCAATACTACACACTGTCTTGATTACTATATTTGTACAGAGTTTTGAAATGAGGTCCATGCGAGTCCTCCAAATTGGGTCTTTTCCAAAATTGTTTTGATTATTCTAATTACCTTGCTTTTCCATATAAATTTTAGGATCAGATGCTGATGTATGCAAAAAATCCTGATGGAATTTTTATTGCAATTGCATTGACTATATAGATCAATTTGAGGATGTACCTTTTTCTGAAAGGCTCTGGCTATATGTAACATTTCAACAACCTGCGTAGCTCTGGAGTCAACTTGCCAACCCAAGAGTTTCCTATGAATCATTCTCAAGAACCTCACAGAAATATTTCTCATAAGACAAGTGAAAATCTAGCATGTATGCTATGAAAATGTAAAACACAAGATTTTACTCTGGAAGACAAGAAACTTACACTGTCCGACTTTCTGGCTTCCACAAATCCAAGGCAGAAATCTTTCAAATAAACTCAATGAAAAGATCATTCATTCTGTTATCTCAAATAACAGAGGAATAACTAAAGAGAATAACATAAAAGAACAAGGCAGACCAAAAAGAAAATATAAATTAACCGGAAGATGAAATGAGAAATACAGGAATAGAACAGACTTATTAAATACCCACTATGCACCATGCACTATGCTAGAGCTTCACATATTATGTTTTACTTATCCAGAGACATGCCAATATGTTCTATCCCATATTTAGGCCAAAATAAATAAATTCTCCTTTACCCTCACACAGTAAGCCTATAAAACTTATTCTTTCTAGCTCAAGAAAAAATGCATATTTTTAAAAATCTGTCTCACTTTAAAACACCAACTGCAAAAATTAAAATAAAATGCAGATTAAAGGGAAATACAAATTATTTTTAAAAATGATGCCATCTTTTGGCCATGAGGGTGATAACATTATTTTAAAATTTCATGGTAGCCAGTTTGGCAAAAGTGTAGGAAAATAGGTAATCTCATACACCACTGGGGGAATATAAATTAGAACCACCTTTTTGTGAGACAACTTGGCAGTCCATCAAATTTTGAAATACCTGTTTAACTCAACAATCCATTTTAAGTATTTAGTTCACAAAAAGACATAAAAGTACACAAAAATGAATGTAAATAGGATGTTTATTATGCATTGTTTAAAAAGTAACAAATGCCCACAAGACTTTCACAGCCGTAACGTCCTGTTTTAATTAAGCACATTAAAGAATTGAAGAGTGGATAAAGACAGCCATCTGAAGCACACAGGCCAGCCTCAACATACTATCACAAGTACTTCAAAACAGCAGAAAAGGATGTTTAAATGCATAAAGTAATAAAATATCTAGAAATCAAGGAGGGTACCCTCCAGTGGACCAGAAATTCTGAGAAATATCCAAGAAAATGAAAGCAAATAGGACCACACTGAAGGAGAAACCACAGCCCCAGGCGCACAGGAAAGCAGGACTCCAAGGTACTCGAAGCTTAGAGACAGCAGCGATGATGGAACTCTTCCAAGCTGCCAGGCCAGTCCCCACCTCCCCACTCCACAACAGTCAGCCTGTGCCAGCCTCCAGATGGGAGCAGCGATTGAATGCTTTGGCACAAGGGGAAGCCAACTCACTGGGTAAGTGGTGATACCCAGGAGTGGGAGGCCCCACACCCCACCCACCTGGCAGCCCTCTCACATCCCTACCAGATGCAGGTGGTAGTCATACATCACAGGGGACCTCAAATAAGACAGTATTGCCAAGTAACTGAGGAAAACTACTACCACAGAAGAAAGACACCACATTCAAAGAGAATATTTATCACCCAGGAAAACAATGTTGATGTAGTAAATAGGAGACTTTAAAAAAAAAAGACGTTCTCTCAGAAGGATAGAAGAAAATATCACAAATCAGTACAATCAGAGCAAGCCCCTAAACTAAGTGACTTATCTAATGGCTGAGTAATAAATCCTTTTCCGAGTTGGAGAGTTTCCAATTCTTTGCTTTCATCAAAATTGAAAGGGGTCGGGACAGCCAAGTGGCGCGATGGTTAAGAACTGGCTTGGGACGCCAGAGGGCCCCGGCTCGGATCCCACATATGAGGGCCAGTAACACTGCCCTCTACAGCTAAGATGCTGAACAACAGCTCAACCTGGAGCTGGGCTGCTGTGCCACAGTGTAGGCTGCAGCCCCTGCTGCAGTGGGTTGCCATGGGCTACCGGGTGTGGCCGGCAGCCAGCGTGAGCGGCCAGCAGCCGCCGTGAGTGGCCATCCAGAAGCCAGTGACTGATCTGCCTCCTCTGGGAAGAGTGCAATGATAGTGCCAACTTGGGCCAGTGAAGCAGCGTCCTCCACAACTAGACTGAAGAACAAAAGGACAGCAACTTGTCTGTTACCCTTCCCCAATTCCCCAGAGCTGTTCCCATCCCCCTAATTCCCCAATAAAAATCTTTAAAAAAAAAAATTTGAAAGGGGTCATAATCGAGTTGTCATCTGTTACGACATGAAAAATTATTTTTAATAATACTAAATTATGGAATTCTTAGCATATGATTCAAAGAATTGAGGACATTGCCATAATAAAGCTTCCATTCCCACATACTTAACTACGTGAATAAGGTTTCTTAGCTATTATATCTATAAAAATCGAAATAAAAATTGCTAAATCCTGTTTCATCCTTGCAAAAGAATATTTATCCACAGATTCATGATCTAATCAAGAAAAATAATAGATCCAATCATTTCATTAAGAAAAACATTTCCAGGTCGGCCAAGTGGCTCAATTGGTTAGAGCGTGAGCTCTGAGCAACAGGTTTGCTGGTTCGATTTCCACATGAGCCAGTGAGCTGCCCGAACTGAGCAGCCGTGAGCTGCCAACAAGCGGCTGGATGGCCCAGTGTGCAACAAGGTTGCTGGTTCAACTCCCTCATGGGATGGTGGACTATGCCCCGCCCCCAACCTCCCCAACCAGATTGAAAGCGGCGACTGAATTTAGAGCTGAGCTTGCGTCCTCCACAACTAAGATTGAAGGGCAACAACTTGACTTAGAGCTGATAGGTCCTGGAAAAACACAATATTCCCCTTCCCCAATTCCCCAACACTGTTGCCCTCCCCAATTCCCCAATAAAATCTTTAAAAAAGAAAAACATTTCCAATTAAATTCAACTTTTATGGTTAGTAATAATTTACAAAATATTGTATAGGTCAACTGTATACTACTAGTAATTGTGATGATAAATTTCTTCTGGAGAAAGTTAATACTCGGAGCCTTATCGTTACAGAATCATTAAATTAAAATTGAAGTGTACATACATATTTACAGAAATATAACTTTAAAAAACTTTCAAAAAAACTTTCAAGTATAAAAATATATTACGTGAGAATAAAAGTCTATGAGAGACAGGAATGGAAATAAGAATTCAAGGAATCAAAAGAAGGGTTTATATTTCCAATGATAAACAGCAGCTTGCTCATGTATTTCTTTTTTTTTTTTTTAAAGATTTTATTGGGGAATTAAGGAAGGGGAACAGACAAGTTGCTGTCCTTT